TCCCCACACATAGGGGTGGGACAATTAAATCTCTTTTAAAGCACCTGTACATGGGCACCTGGGCCGCGGGTCTGACACCTCAAATTCTGGAGGCGCAAAGCGAAAACGGGGCCATCGATTGAATTTATCAACGGCGGGTGCGACGTTTCACATTTCGGCCTCGTTTTCTTGTGGCGACAAGTTTCGGACTGCAAGGCTGGGGGCGTGTACTTGTGGTTTAAACTAACATTAGCTTTCATAAGGCTTTTGAACGCACTATGAAAGCTCCTCGCAGATGCCAAGAGTCAGGAAGCAGACACCCACTCAGGGTCTTTGGGCCATTCCTCACTTGTTTCGTTCAGATGTCGGGAGATCAGAACACAGTGCATTATTTGACAAAGGGCCTTTGCCAGACCAGCTCGGGCCGGAGAGGTCCAGGGACACCAATGCCGGACAGGTCTCAGGGTCACCAACACCGCACAGGTCCCACAGACACCAACTTGTGGGGCCTTCAATGAAACAAGTTGCTGACGGGATTGAGAACTCTTCGGCGCTTGACGTCTGGAAAACAAGTGCTGGAAAAAAATTGACGTCCGCAAAAAGCTTGAGATCTGTAAGAAACTTCAAAGGCTTGCCCAAGCTCTTCCATGGGACTTGCCAAAGCTCCCACTGAACGAAGACACCAGTACACCCAGGCCTCGAGGCGCTGCACTGCGAGGCAAAGCTTTCGCGAACCGCGAGCAGCACTCTTTTCTTTCTGGCTGGCACCGCCAGCGCCAAATTTTTGGAATAGGTGACGGACCAATTTCTGCGGGGCTGGGGCTGTGTACTCTGAGGCCGTGTACCGGCGGTTTAAACCACACCAGTACAAACCCGGGCCTGGAGGCGCTGCACTGCGAGGCAAAGCTTCCAAACCTCCCACCGCACACTCTTTTCTTTCTGGCTGGTGCCGCCAGCCATTGTGGTCCAGTAGGGCTGAGCTGCAAAATTTTCAGAATAGGCGACGTACAAATTCCTGCAAGGCTGGGGCCATGTACTGGTCGGGCCACACAGTTTGAGAGCCGCTTGCTTTCTAGATGGGGCCATGTACTGGTCGGGCCACACAGTTTGAGAGCCGCTTGCTTTCTAGCATCCTCTTCGTAAATCCAGCAATCACATGTCAAATACAGGTGCAACGATTCTACCGTCGATGGTGGACCAAGTACCCCGCCCCTCTTCTTCCGTGCAAACTTCAGCGAGAATCGCCATCTTTCTTCTCCTCAAGCAATTCACCCCTTTCCTCATCCTTCTCATCCCTCACACTAACTCCTCTCTCAGCCTACTTCGTTGTTTCTCCTGCATGTCACCTGCCTCTTATGCCTGCTTGACGGCCAACCACTGCCCCGTTGCCTCCCTCCCTCCCTCTCTCTCTCTCTCTCTCTCTCTCTCTCTCTCTCTCTCTGTGTGTGTGTGTGTGTGTGTGTGTGTGCTTGGGTAGACTCTCCCAGCACTCAAATCACGAAAGACAAGTCTACCCAGATTTGCCCGCCCAGACTCCAGGTACATTCTCCAATTTCAGCATGTCATCGTTCCTTCGGCAGAGGAGCTTCCAAATAACCAACCACCGTTGCAGGCAGGGAACTACCCAATGTTGGAGAGTGCATTCGTAGAGCCCATTCTGACAGCTATCCGCAAGTTTGCCAAATCGTGAAATCGGACAGTAGTGGAGCGATACACTACTATCCAAAATTGGACAGCGGTAGTGGTGGAGTAAGAAATCACAACACTCAGACAATGATGACCCCAGTACAAGATGGTAATACCCGTGTTTTTTTCCCAGTTACTATCATTATTTATCAAAAACAAAAAAAAAAGCTGAACGTTATCCCTTCATCCGATGATTCGTCTGACGTCAGATCTAGAAAAGCTTACCTGGCATCTCGCCGCCACGAGTGCGAGAGGTCAAATCCCGACGAGACCACGGGGGAGGACAAGGGGAGGTCCCGATAGTGATCGCCCCGCATGCTTAAAAGAAAACGACTTCAACGAAAACTCTCAAAACGGAGAAACAGAAAGAAAACAAAAGAAAAGAACGAAAAGAAGAAAGGGCAAAAAGGAGCGAAAAGAAAGGGGGTTATTGTACATTCCCGAGAACGACAAGCAGGAACGCCATAGCGGCTGCGAAACTGACCAAGAGACTTTAATGAATCCAGAAGGTAAGACAAGGCAGACAGTACGGCGTCTATCACACAACCATTTGGCCGCTGTTGCTGCCACTGGCTGACTAAGGGCATACATGCAGACCGGCACTTAGTCGCCTGCATCTGGTCCTGATGGCAGTCGAATTCAGGTTAAAAAGTCCTACTACGCGTCACTAATTTGATCCGTCTCACGATGGACGATACATTGTAGAAAAGGAGAAAAGCAAAGGAGAAAAGCAAAGGAGAAAAGGGAAAGGAGAAAAGGGAAAAGGGAAAGGAGGAAGCAAGCGCGCGCGCTGGGAAAGCAGAGGACAGCACAAAGCGAGAGAGAGAGAGAGAGAGAAAGGAAGAATTCTCCAATTTAAACAGAATTCTTTTGATGTTCTTACCTTGGAGGGATGGGAGGGATGGGAGGAATGGGAGGAATGGGAGGGAGGGAGGAATGGGAGGGATGGGAGGGACAGGATGGATGGATGGATGGATGGATGTTACGTGCTTGTTGTTGTTGGCGGCGGCCATAGCCGAGAAGTTTGAGGAGGGAAAGAAAGGGAGAGAGAGAAACCGAAAGGGAGAGAGAGAAAGAGAAAGCGCGAGAGAGAGAAAGGGAGGGAGAGAGAAAGGACGTGGGGGGGGGAAGGGAGAGGAAAAGAGAGAAAGCCAAGCAGAGATCATTGGCGAGGGAAAGTCAATAGCACATGTTCAGCGATTCACATCCACCCCCCCCGTCCATGGGGGAACCCCCCCCCCCCCCTCTCCCCCCCTCCTTTTTCCCCCCCCCCCCCCCAACCGTTACTGTATGTTAACTGACTCTCGGAAGTAACCCCCTCTGCCCCATATTACCCTTACGTCACTTTTTCACGTGATTTAGCCTGGCAGCAACCCCCCCCCCAGACCTAAGAAGAGGAATCGAATCACATACTATTAAGTGAATTTAAATCAAACTAAATGAAATGATCCACCTTGCTTCCGTCATTCTCTCATGCGAATCGAGTTGGAAGCTGACTGGCCCCACTGACCCTCGCACTGGGAAGATGGACCCTCAACCAATCCGCTCAGCCGTCGGGTTAAGGGTCCATCTTCCAAGTGGGAGGGTATTTACCAAACTGAATTAAAATTGTTAAATGATCCACCTTACTTCCGACTCGATTCCGCATGGAAGATGGACCCTCAATCAGACGTCTGGACCCTCAACCAGAATGGACCCTCAACCAGACAACCAGACGTCTGATTGAGTGTCCATGTGCCATGCGTAATCGAGTTGGCAGCTGACTGGCCCCACAGCGGAATCGAATCACGGCTATAAAATAAAATAATACACCTAATAATAATTAACCCTCCCAATTGGAAGATGGACCCTCAACCAGACGGCTAAGCTGACTGGCCTCACTGACCCTCGCTTACACTCTCCTTCTTCCCGCACATGTGCTGGAGCACGACCGCCTCATATATCTCACACATCAAGTGTCACTCCGCCCGCTCCTGCAAGCTGGGGAAAAGAACGGAGGACTTCTTTTTTTTTTTTTTTGACGGACGTAACGGAGAGAATTCCATCCACCAAGCCGATCCCAAGAATAGAACACGGGGCCTCCTCCCACTTGGGGGAGACGGATAAAATGATGGACAAGAAGGGAGGGAATTTTGACGGAGGTAACGGAGAGAATTGCATCAACATCAACAAGCCGATCCCAAGAATCGAACACGCGCCCTCCCACTTCGAAGATGGGACCCTAAACCAGACCGCTAAGCTGGCTACCGTAGGATGAAAGTTTAAAAGTGTCCCAAGACGAGAATTTCACCCCCCCCAACCCCAGCACGAAATTCTCCGCGTCCCAG